CCAAATCTTTCAAAATCCTTTCTTGAACTGCAGGAGTGAGAGTTGTTGAATCCACAGTTGGGCTGTGCTGATGCTGCCGTGGCTGCTGATGCAGGAGGTGCCTAATGTGGGGAAGCTGTCCTTGTTCCTCTTCCTTGCTCCTGTTTCAGATCCCACGGCAGCCAGCAGCCTGCAGTTTGCTGCTCAGAGGGTGAGCATGTTGCCCAGGACATTAGTGACTTACCCTTCTGAGGCAGCTTAGCATCATTCATGTTCCCAATTGAAAGGGAAGTCAGAACCCCACCTGTGGCTGAAGAGGGAATGTTCAGATCCTCCTTCGCTTTCTGCCTCAGGCTTGTGGGAAGAGGTCGGGGCCTTAAGCACCAGACTGCTGCCATCCCACTGCCCTTGGCTGCTTGTAGAGAGGAACATTCACCATTAGTGGGAAAAGGATGCTGCAGAGCAGTCTGTGACATTGACATGGAGCATATGTGTGCCACATGGTGCCACTGTGTCCTGCCTCATTGCACTTTATCTCCTGAACAGCAGCTTTGTGGTAAGAAACCGAGGGCATCCCTGCAATGAGTCACTTTGGGGGCCATGTTTCTTTTAGCTGGAGCACTCCATGATGCTGGTGCCACATGTTGTGAGTACTCCTGGACTGACAGATCAATTATTAATTGATGTGGCTTATGAATTTTTCAGCGTTTTCTCACGCTGTGCATCACAAAGTGAAACCACCTTTTATGAGACAAAGATCTTTCCTAAAGCCCTACATCAAAGCTGCAAAATTGTCACCCATATTGTGATCTTGTTCAGCCTTCACCATGAACATGTTTGCTTTGAAATACTTAATCAACCATTTGCTGAGCTACAGAGCTCCTGGCATGTTAAAGGATGAGTGCCTTGAAACTTTGTCTTTGAGGCATTTGGCACCTGTAACCATGCATGGCACATGCATTTGGCTGCACTGATTATTTTGGGAGGAGTTATGCCAGGCCTAGGAAGAACATAAGTGGGTCATGGCTTTTGTCTTAGTCCTCTAGCCACAGAAAATAATTTAAAAAGTGGCATTTTCAGACCCCCAGGCTGCATGGTGGTGTGCTGGATACCAGGATAGGGAAAATTAATGTTTGGGATTGCTGAGAGTGCCCCCAGCCAGGACAGTCCCTGCTCAGCAGCAGCCCACCTGATCACCTATTCCTGGGTGCCAGTACTGCCAGGGAGGAAAACTAACACTAGCAATATCTGAGGATTTCACAGAGACCTGGACTAAATGCTTTCCTTTCCAGAAGAATAAAAGCCAGGTGTATTTCTGCTCCCAATGTCGCATAAAGCAGGTTGCTGCAGCTCAGCATTTGTGCTGCCAGAGCATATAAAATGTGTTTTTCCAGAACCCGTTGCAAATGGCTGGAGCACATGTCATGGGAGGGCACTGGTTCCACCAGCACACTGTAACCTTTGTCCCAGGAGTGGAGATGCCCTGGGGCAGGCCCCAGGTGGGGTTCAGGAACAGGGATGTTGTGACACCTGCTGCCTTTGCTGGGAGGCAGGAAATCAGCATTAGCCGTGGCTGGCAGGGAGGGATTAAGCTGTTAAATGGTCCTGGTGGTTTCTGGCTGGTGCTGATGGCAGTTACACCAGTACCTGTCACCTCCACAGTGTAAATACCAGGCATTGAAGGTTGTATCTGTATGTTGCTTCCTGTCATTACAAACCCTCTTAGCTTACAACGATGCTATTTCATTATAAACCCTGTTAGTGAACAACAACGTTACTCCCAGCTGAGCTCAGAGTGTGGGTTTAGCTCCTGTGCTGTGTTTCACTCCCTGTGTGTATTGGGACTATACCACATCAATCTATGTTTGGTGGAACAGCCAGACCCACTGTGCTCTTACCAACCAGCCTGGGGCTGTGTACAGCATGTCACTTGTGCCACCAGCATAGTCCCCAGACTGGGAGGGTTTGTCCCATCTGCAGCCCTCTTGCTGTAGTCATTGGCACGAAAACTGTGCCCTGCTCAGTCCCCAGGCAGGTGGGTGGATCTGAGGTGTGAATCCCAACCATAGCACTTTGTGCACAGCAAAGGAAAGAGGACAGCAGCCTGGGCTGCTCCAGTGGCTCTTTCGGGGCCATGGCGGTAATTGTAAATGGTTTGACTTTAAACTGTGATAAACCAAAGCTGGAGTTTTCAATATAAACTCTTCAAATAAAACACTTGGACTCCAGAAGCATGGGGGTTTAAAATCCCCTAATACCACTCATGTCCTTGCACTGCTTTGGCATTTCCTGTATAAGCAGAAGTGGGACTGGGCTCTTTGCTTTAAAAACTACAAGGCTCAGGCTGGGCGATGTGTGGATGAGCTGATGCAGCAAACTCTTTAAATATGGATTTGGTAGGTGCCTGTGCATCTTGGTGAAGATCTTACAGACTAATTAGGATGGTTGGTTTGTGTCTGCTTCTGCCTTTCAGAGATACAGAGGGATTATCTCCCATCCTTTTGGGATAGGAAGAAAATTCTCTCAGTGAGTTTGTTTCAGGGGGATGGAAACAAAGGGTTTCTTCTGCAGGCCAGAAATTGGTTCTTACTGGCAATCAAAACTCTCATGAGGAATGTTTTAAACCCATTTCTCTTATTTACTAGTGCCCACTAAAAAGTATTCCTTATTAACAGTTTATATGTACAAAACCTGTCTTCTTGCAAGGTCTTTTTCTTGCAATTGAACCCTCACCAGGAGTTAGAGTAGGCACCTGCCCTGCAGTGCCTGCAGTGACAGGCTGGTTGCAGTGCTGGTCAGTTTTGAGTTCCACTTAAAATTTAGTCTACATATAGCTTTTAATTTTCATTCTTTTGCTTTAGCAACTGTTGCACCAATGTAGATAGTCTCTGCAGGGCAGGCAGAGAACTAATGTGGTTGCGGGTAGACGTATGAAAATATCTAATTTACCAGCAGGCAGTTGGGTAATGATCAGTTGAGAATTACAAATTATGTAAATCATGTGTTTGCGGCATGCTGCTGAAGAAAAGCCCAGTGCATATGACAAATCATGTATATATTGAAATATATAATACTTTTCACATTTAATTGACCGGGGCAACCTTATGATTTATATCTTTGCTTTATTCACAGCATACCCATAACATAGTCATAATGCAGAATGAAACTAATTCATTTTCTCTTTGACTTTTAAAAGAATTTATTTATTTGGCTGTCAAGTACTTGAATATAAAGTGGGCATGTGGCAGATAATAAATAGCTGATTCTCTAGTTAAGAAATTGAGTTTTAATGATATTAAGGTCTGTGTTGCCTTACTTGCTCTTGCTTAGCTGGCATGCGTCACATTTGCACCTTGCCTTATTTTACAAGCAAAGTATATTTTATAGGTACCAGCGTTACTCTCTTAATGGCCTTATATAACTTTATATATTCATAACTATATATAACTATATATAACTATAAATATAAATATATATAGAGAGATTGTTATGGCTGTGTAAAATATACTCTGGTTGCTCTGATGGCAGCAGGAGTCCTTCCTAGGTGTAAGACAAGACAGTGGCTGAGCTGTTGGGCTGCTGCTCTTAGTCACAAGAGATCTTCTGGGAGGTGCCAGGAGGACAGGCAGGGGCTGTCTCATTAGTACCATTCTGTAGAAAACAAGAAGAAAATGTTATTTTGGCTGCTACAGTCTAGAATTGCCTTCCTAAAGATCAGTTTTCATCATGGAGCTATCATGCAGAATCATTGAAAATACAGCCTGGAAAGATTTTTTTGTTTCTTTTAAATACCAGGTTACTTGGCTTGGCATCACTACTTAATCTTGGGAAGCCCAGTCCTGGAAAGCAATACCTTACCCATTCTACCACTGCCACAGAGACTTCTTAGGCTGCTTGTTGGCTCCTAAGAAAAATAATCTTTTGCAGTCCGATCTGTCTTTGGCACCTGTAGAATCACTGGAAAACATCTGCACAATCAAGATGGTGCAGAAAGCATGAAGCAGTTTGTTGGCTCGTTATCATACTGCAAAATCAACCCTCCTCCACAGCAACATCCTCAATTTCTAAATTTAGCTCCTGAGTTATTTTGGGTAGTGTGTGATTAACCTCAATTACTGTAGCTCAGATAGGATTCACATAATGCCCCCTCTTTCAGAATTGCAAAGAAAGGGAAATCTGGCTCTGTACATTTCCTACCCTTAATGAAGCAGCTCTGAGAGGTGCTTCCACATGGGTGCAGGATAGTTGTGAGATACATTTTTTCATGGAGACACTGTAATAGAGGCAGCTGATCCTGAAAGGTGCTGGTAATCCATGGCTCAGTACTGGTGCTGGGATCAGGAATATCAAGATGAACCACACCAGCAGGTTATGTCATGTAGCTGGTGTGAATGAAATCATTGAAGCTTCAATGGATTTGGTTCACAGTCAGGACACTTTGTAGTTTTCCTGAATTAAATCCAGAACAAAGGCTTTCAAAACCTAATAAAAAATATGCTTTCCGTCAATCTCAGCCATCTCATTGTTGGCTCTCTGGAAAATCAGTGGTGAAGCAGAATGCAGAAATAGCACCTGTTCCTGTGCAGATCTGCACAAGTGTGTGTGGCAGAGGCAAGGGATGGGCAGGCAGAGGAGGAGATGCCGTGGAAAGTGATGGGGTGGGGGCAACGTGGTTTTTCAGCTGATCCAGTGAGCACCAACAGATGAGCTCATCATTCATCAGGCTGAGAATCAGAACTTTTGTCATCACTATAGCTGTAACAGACTACACTGCACCAGACTGCCTCAGGGTGAGAGTGCTTGGCCCCAGGAGGCAGCAGGGCAGGCATCAAAAACTTTCTTGGGTTGTTGAACATTGTGTTTGTCCTTTGTGGGGGCTTCTGTTCCAGAATGTGGTCCCTCACCACTCGCTCTGTCTATCAACAATGTGGCACAGGTGGTCAGCCTGAAGAACTGAACTGCTCTTAAAGGTGTTGCATTGGTTAATTTTTCACCTTGATTTGCCTTTTGTTTCTGTACAGCTGGACAACCCTGATGAGCAAGCAGCGCAGATCAGACGCGAGTTAGATGGACGTCTTCAAATGGCAGAACAAATTGCCAAGGTAAAAAAAAAAGTCTACTGTTATTTATAACTTCATTTAGGAGTATACAAGGAGTTTGATGCAGCCCTCAAGTCCTGTCATTCTCTTATGGTTTTCTTCTCACAATAATTACAAGTTAAAAATGATCGGATTTTTAGCTGCAAACAAAACAAGACGGAGCTGTTTTCATGTGCATTTATTGGACTGTCCTGATGAGCTGGGACAGTTTAGCTTCCTGAAAAATCCCTTGTGAATCCTCCAAGGTGTCACATTTCTATGCTAGACAATAACGTGGATGATGGTGTGTAAAAAAGGAGCCAGGAATAGTCCTAATGTGATTTGTGTTGTTTGCTGGACTGATGGGAGCCACAATTTCCTGCCTGTAGGTAAATGCTGCCTCAATAAAGGTCTTTCAGATGTATTGTCCCAAAGAAGTTCACACTGTGCTTGAGAGCAGTCAGACCATCATTGCCCCCTGCAAACATTGCTGGTGTTTGGAGCAGTAGGCACAGGACTTCCAAACAGCTTTGATAACCAAGCACTCAGCTAATCTCCCTAGAGACCCCTCTGTAAGGAGACATCTCCTAGGAGCAAATCACAGCCTCACACAGGGCAGGTTCACATGGCCTCCAGTGGACCAGAGATGATGGAGAAGATCCTGTTGACATCAGTATGACTGAGTTTTATCCTTGCCTCTAATCAGATGCTCTGAGTCACTGATAAAGCCCTAATGGGGCTGAAGTAATTTGGAATGATCTATCTGGCTGTTCTTGATAATCAAGAAACCATTACTACAAGGCAAAAAAAAAGATCTAATCAGAGAGACACACTCAGTCTAGGGGCCTGCCTTTCAGCAGCAGTCCTCCCAGCACTGAGCTGCACCCAAATTAGGATTTTTTTATAAGAAAGGTAATATCAGAGCTGTTTGCAACCACACTGATATGCCTGGGTGTGAAAAGCAGAGCATATTGATTTATAGTCAGGCATTAACAATGGTGCTGGTGAAGCCTGCACAGCTCCTCCTCGCTACCACCTCTGTTAAACATCTGCTGCTGTTTCATCTTTGGGGACATAGGCTCTGGTTTTCTCCACTTCACAGATAAAATTAGTGAGATGGCCTAGGACCACATGGCCAATCAAAGGTGCAGCAAAACAGCAAACTGACTGTAGCTCTTCTGTTTAGCATTTGGCCCTTTACCACTTCATTCTTGTCAAGAAAACCTACAGTATTTATTTGCTGTGAAATGTAAGCCTCTGCACTGAGTGCAGCTGCTCTGGTTCTGAGATGGGTAGCCAGGCCCTGAGTGCCAGAAAAAGATTGCCTGGTTTTGTTATTTCATTTTCTCTTTATGCCATGTAGAACAACAATATGCATGATTCAGTAGCAGCCAGCAGAAGCTGCAGCTTCATGAATTATTTTTTGCAAATGAGAATTTTCCATTTCCATTCTTCCCCCAAGGATGCTGAAAACAAACCATGACACTGCTGGCTGTCCGAGAGACAGTCGGGGGAAACTCCTCAACATAACCTGACATATCAATGTGCACAATTCAACCTTCAAACTACAACACTGCAGCTTGGAGGGTGGTTTAGAGTGAAAGGGACTTTCCTGCATTTCAGTTGGCAGCTAGGGATATTTAATCTCCGTCATGGTACCGCAAAAGACTTCCTCTTCAGAATGTCAGGTCCCACCAGCATCTGCCTGCGAGAAACCTCGTTCTTTCAGATCCATGAATACTGTATTTTGGAGGCATCCAAATGACCTTTTGAATCCTTTTCTGTAGCCACCTTTCTGGGCAGGGCTGCTTTCCCTGTAACAGAGGGCAGGTTCACAGTTCAGCTCGGTGAAAGGATAGCATTTCCATTTTTATCTCCAATTTGCAGCTTTCAATACAGATTTGCTGGGAGTCTTACAGTGCTTGTGAAACCAGCACTGAGGTGTCTGTCATGGAGATTCCATTCTCAAGGCACATTAATGCCTCGATGATAAATTAAGAAATTCAGACTAGGGCATTTGCATTTCAGAGGCAGCAAAGGCTGTGGAGTCTTATTGGACCAGTGGCTCTGCAAGGCTTTGTCTGAGCTGTTGTGTGACCTTGAACAAGTCACTGTTCATGCCAGCTTTCCTGCCTCTGGATACCAGGACACAGCTCTGTGTCTTCCTGCCTTCCCATGTGCCCAGGAGAGTGCAGTTCAGTGCAGCACTGGGGCAGTCTGGGCAAGGTCTCCCACTGAGCCTGACTCCATTGAAGCACATCAGCCCAGCCTTGGAGCCAGGTGGCTTGAGGATCACGCTCTGTGGCAGGCAGATGTTTTAAAGCTGAATCTGGACAGGATTTTCAGTCTGCATGTTGTACTTTTCCTGTGGCTAAATAGAGCAGCATTACAGCTGAGAGCTTAGTGATGCCAAGGCAGGCATGTATTTTCCTCTGCAGTAGCAAGGACTCTGCTGTCCTGTGGTGCCTTTTCTCCCTCCCAGTCACCTGGCCTCAAGGACAAGGAGGAACACATGTAGGGGCAACTAAATGAGACATTGTGGTGACACTGGAGTGATATGTCTGTCTGGGGCTGGACCCACTTTGATCCTGCAGAGGTCATTCCTCAATATCTTACCTCTGCCTCTCTCCATATTCCTGATCCTCTCTCTGCCCCCAGTGCATGAGGAGGTGACTAATGCCCTTTCTTGCTCTTGTCTGCATCTCATGATAGTGTCCTACTCCAGACTTCCCCCAGCTTTATCTCCAGTCTGATGGGTGACTTGAGACCACATCTGCAACTCTGCATTTCCAGCATCAGTTAAACAGTCCCAGTTAAACTGGGACTGTGTTATGCAGCACTTCAAACTACATTTTTAGCCTTAATACAGGAAGTTGCTGGTGGCACACAGTGGAATGTCTCAGTCCTTGCTGCACTGCTGAAAAGGTTTGTGAGGGCAGTGCCAAAATTGCAGTCCCTGGAGAGATGGATAAGAGCAGGATAAAAAAGCAATAATGTCTGAACATCATTGCTGCAGCAGTAGCTCTCAAAATCCACAAAACAGTTGTTTGTTGTTTGTTTTTTATTTTTTTTTCCTGGGGGTGACTTGCAACTTATATAATGCACAGACAATATAGGAAGCTGATTAGGTAGTTTATTTCACTTTAAGTCTAATTTACATGAGGGAATTGCTTCCCGAGACTGAGGCTGGAAACAGATGACTATACTTCAACTGCTCGGTGTGAGTGCTGCTGTGAGCTCTGCTTGTAGTGGTAAGACCTTGAGGACAGATGCAAGAACTAGTGCAGAGGAGAACTCTTTCAGCAGCCTGATGACAGTCTTCTAGAAGAAACATGACCTTGTTTTCTTTTCTAGCATACATTTTACAAATGGCTTTTTACAATGTTGTGAGTTACCACCGAGATTGTTTGCACGTCAGCCTCGTGTTCCCTGGCTGCAGGTGCTGCCTCACTGTCTTACACCTTGCACAATGTCTCGTAGCCCACAGAGACATTCCAGTCCTGAGCAGGTTCAGGCCATGGAAAAAGTTGTCAGAAGATGTAAGGCTCAGGCCAGTGATGGGCAGCAGTTCAAATGAGAGCGTGCATTGGGGAATATCATATTTTGCTCTCAGTGTCACCCTTGGTTTTAGAGTTTAAATTTCATGTTGACAGCAAGCAGCCACTGGAGGGTCTAACAGTGAAAGGCTGTCTTCTTGTGGGGAGGCTCAGGCCTTGGCAAGTAGTGGAAAGGATGTATTACCCCTTCTTCCAGTTAGGTCCAAACATTCCTGCCCACACGTGGCTGGTTTTCCCTCTTTGGGCTCCTTTCAGCCTAGAAACCTGATGAAGCAACTGCTCAGAAGTATTTTAAAAAGAGCTGGCACAATTGGAAGACTGGAAAACAAATTTCATACTGTTAGCATTCTCTGAATCCTTAATAAGTTGTTGTTGATCACAAAGTTCAGTTGAGATCTGGTCTGGAATGTTTGTTACTGAGAATACATCCATAGGAAAAGGCCCATTTGCAGATGGAAAAGTCAGTGAAATGCAAGTGCATGCAAGATACAGGAAAGTTGGACAAGTACCAAGTAGTAATTCTATGAAAAACTAGCAGTAATGTTTCTGCATTACTCAGGGGGAAGCTGCAATTTGTCATCTGGTTTGTAGGAGTTCCCTGCTCACAAACCTCTGTAGATGCTTGTCCTAGGGTGACTTTATGATGCTTGTATCCCCAGTCATCATTTCTGTTTGTGCTGGATGTTAGGTTCTGCACCTTTAACACTGGTTCTGAGAGCAAAGTGGGGAGAAGAAGCCACAGTTTGTCTTCAGAAATGGCACTCACTGCTCCACATCCCTCTCCAGACTCTGCTGTCCAGACAGCGGGAGAGAGCTCTCTTTGGAATTTAGTTATTTTTTAGCTAGCTGAGGCAGAGAAGTTCCCCAGACTGTGGCTTTTCTTTTTCTTGGAACTGATGGGCCCTGCTCTCCACTAAAAACCCAGAAAGACACTGGGAGCTCACACTTATGGCCCACCAGGGCCTGGGACACGCAGCATTTTCCAGCACAGGAGGGACTGATAAGAGACTGAGCAAGCCCAGCTACACCCCACAACAAGGACTTTCTCAATTTGCCATCTCTTCAGAACAGTGAGAGGTTTTATTATTTAATATTATTCATTTGTTATGCTTGTGAATACTTTGCTTGTTAAATAAACAGGTTTTTCCACTTTTCTTCAAGGAAATCTTTTCCTGAACCAGTTGGGAGAGGAGGTGCTTGAATCCGCTTTCTAGAGGGACCCCTTTGGAAGTTTCCTCCCAAACTTGTCCTACACCAGTGCTCTTGGGTAATTCTCCCACTGCATCAGGTGGTTGTTGATTGTCACAAACATTCATTCTGTTGTGTTTGTTTCCAAATCCAAGGAGCGCAAGTTTCCCAAGTTTGTGTCCAAAGAAATGGAGAACATGTACATTGAGGAGCTGAAGTCATCTGTCAATCTCCTGATGGCAAACTTGGAGAGCATGCCTGTGTCTAAAGGAGGCTCCGAGTTCAAGCTGCAGAAGCTGAAACGTAGCCACAACACCTCAATAATTGACATGGGAGAGGAAAATGAGAACCAGCTTTCCAAGTCAGACGTCGTGTTGTCATTCTCCCTGGAGGTAAGCTACGTGTACACAACAGGATGAAGAGTTCATGAGAGTAAAAAGTGCAACAGCCAACTTCTGCTCAGTTCATATTTAGGTTAGGTGGAGAGAGGTGAGTAGAAATCACTCTCTGTTTACTGGAAGCTTTGCCTGTGATTAAATACTGTGTCCATTCTGGTGTCTTACCACCTTGTTGGAACAATCTGTGTGATATTTTTTGCATTTCCACTGTCTGGCATTTTGTGATGATGTTGTATCAAATGGCTCAGAAATCTTAATCATTAACTGATCTCTTCATGCAGTTTGTTATTGAGTGTAGCCCAGTAACCCTGAACCTGTATTGTCCCCAAAACAATTACAATAATGCAAAACTGTAAATATCAGCATGTTGAACATGCTAGAAGGGTTGCTGTATTTCCCTGGAAGAATTGCTTCCTCTTTGAAGAATTGTTAAAAATTCCTGGGGTTTGAATTCACCCAACAGATTGGTTTGCAGTTTGTGTGGAAATACTGTGCTGTGCTGGGTTGCTCTTTGCTCTCTGTTGCATGCTGACTTTCTGCTCAGTGCTGTGTCGAGCAGTTTGCCTGTGCAGCCCAGAGCAAGGCAGGGTGCTGCTGCTGCCTCTGACTCGGGCTGCCTCAGTCCTGGAGCAGTGTTGTACAGTAGCCGCTTTCAGCCAACTCAGTTGTTTTGTGCAAACACATTTGTGGTCTATTTGTGGGCATATTTACTTCAAGGAGTCACCAGCTCACCCGCACAGAATTGTTGTTGTCTGTCAATGAGTGGGTTTATGTTACATTGTCAAAACAGCTACCAGGATGGAGTCAAAAATGTAGGATGCAGAAAAATCAGAAAATTCTATTTTTGTGTCGTTTCCTGTTTATTTCTCTTCCTAGGGCATCTCTTGTTATACATATCATGCTAATGCAAAACTTAACAGCTGTAGTTGTCCAGTCTCAGAATTTAACTCATTAGGTGTCTGAAACCATTTTATAGTATTCAGTTCCATTTATTTAAAAGTGGGGCTGTGAACCCAGAGATGGTACCTTCAAGAGCAGCATCAGATAAGGCTCACTTCCGAGCATTCCCATGTAGAGGAGCAGGGAACTATGACAGAGCAGCATTCCCCTGTTGCAGAAGCTGTGCAGTGTGTACAGCTGTGTGTGAAGGGACACCCTTACACCAGAGTGTCACAAATGCTCTGCTCCAGCTGAATCCCATCTGGGGGCAAGTCAAAGCCCAGCACTGACTTCAGCAGCTGGCAGCTCTGGGCATTGCTCAGTGCACAAAACTCCTGCTGCAAGAAAGCTTTTACCAAAAATGTGCACTCATCAGAGGGTTTGGGGAGCTCTGTGTGCCAGGGAGAGGATCCTCAGCTCCAGACGGATCAGAAGACCTGAGAAGAGGAATTTTAAACCCCTGTGTATATACTACATAAATAGCTGTAATAAAACATGAACAGAAACTCCCACAGTGATTCTTGTAGAAATGTTTAAGGTGTGTGGTTAATGGGATTAATCACCTTTAAAAAAAAATTAATTACCTTCAAGAAACTTAGGTGGTGATTTCTTAATTAGAAAGATTTTGTATAAGCAAGATGAAGAAAGATTTTCTTTTTTTTTTTTTCCAGAGCTGTAGAGTGGACAAGGGGCAGCAGTTTTAAACTGGAAGAGGGTAGATCTAGATTGAGTATAAGAAAGAAAATTGCTTCTATGAGGGTGATAGGACATGGGAAAAGGGAACAACTGGGACATAGGTGTTTCATCCTTGGAATTTTTTAAGATCAGGCTGGATGGGGCTCTGAGCAACCTGATCTACTGACAGATATCCCTGCTTCAGCATGAGGATTGGACCAGATGATCTTCAAATGTCAACCCCAAACTATTCTATGATTAATATGGAAAATATGCTTTTGACACAAGCTGAGTAGTTGTGTGGGGTTTTTTTTTCTGGATTTCACTTTCATATTCACTTCTAGATGGGGCAGGACCATGTCTGTGAAGCCCATCTCCTGAAGCTTGGTACAGCCCTGGACACCCAAGAGTTTCAATGAGCCCATGGGCAGTCAGAGGGAATCCTGGTCTCCATACAGACCTGGCTGGCTGCCACAGTCCCCACTCAGGCTGGGCAGTGCCACAGTCCCTGGGCATCCAGCAGCATGTGAAGGACCCCAGCACTGGCTGACCAGTGGGTTCAGCAGCCACAGCAAGGTCTGAAGGAGGCTGCTCCTCTTACATTTCTCCTCTGCCTGCAGGTTGTCATCATGGAGGTGCAGGGGCTGAAGTCGCTGGCCCCCAACCGCATCGTGTACTGCACCATGGAAGTTGAAGGTGGGGAGAAGCTGCAGACGGACCAGGCTGAAGCCTCAAAGCCAACGTAAGCCTTGATTTGCTCTTTGGTCTCTCCACCATGCTCTCCTCTGCCCAGTCACTGCAGATAGCTCTGGCTCCTGCATGGTGAGGGCAGGGGGAACTCTCAGAAGCAGAGGAGAAACGTGGCCTTCCACACATGCAGAGTGTTGTCCTGCAGCTGAGTGTGGCACATAAGCCCTGATTGAGGGGAATAAAGTGTTAATGAGAGGCTTATGTCTCGTGTAGCCACAGAGAGATAAATTTGTGCCTATACGTAAGTGCTTTACTAAATAGGGATGTAGTTAAGTATGTGCTTAGATAAGTACTTGTCTGAGAGTCCATCTGAACTGGTGCCATCAGGTATAGGTACATTATCTTGTCCTCACTGTCATGATTTTGGCAGTCCTACAAGAAAGAGAACAGCTGGCAGGGACACAGTCTGGCAGCCACAGCCAGAGGTGGAGGAGGGGATCTGGGAAAAGCTTCAAAAGACTCAGTTAAAGCTTTATCTGAGGCCTCTCTGGCCCAGTCCTGTTCAAGGGCAGAGTCTTGTTCTGTCCTCTTCCACCTTGTCCCCAAATCCCCACTTCTGAACCCATGCTTGGCTTTCTTTTGTCTTACCTGGGTGTTATTGTCTACCAGTAGTGATTTGCCTTTCCTATTTGGAAGGAGAAAATGATGAATGGCTTATTTCCTTTCCTATTTGTGGGATTAGTTAACTTGAAACACTATGGATTTAAGTTAGTTTTTCTCTGGATGACTGCAGAGATTTCACACTTAAATTAAATTCTCAGTGTGCTTCCTCACAGTGGAGAATTGCTAAGGTGGTATGAAGCCTCCTGCAGGAGTAGGGAGCAGTGCTATTGTGCTCCTGTCCCATTCCCAGTGGCTAGCCCGCAGAGGTGCTTTGCCAGCAGCTTCCCAGGCTCGTGGAAGGAAATCCAGAACCACCTGGCTGCAGGAGATGGGAGTGCACAAGCTCTGCAGGCAGCTCAGGAGCAGTGAATGCACGCAGGACAGAGCAGAGACAAGGTCGGGCTGCCTTCCCTCTGTCACTCTCCTCCCACAGAGGCACAGAAATTGCTGGTGCCTCATGCCCTGTGCTGCACCAGAGCAGCAGGAATCTGCAGTAAGCAGTTCAAAAACAATATTCCCAATCAGGAAAAGTGCTAGAGCCTGGCTGACTTTTCAAAATGCTTTGAAATCTGCTTTAGAGAAGGAAGGAAGGAAGAGAGCTGTGCTTAGAGCAAAATTTCCATGAGAACTTACAATTGTCACTATTTTAGGTATTCTTACTGCTTCAGTGGAGAAAGTTGGGCTTTATTTAGGGGAAATTACTACTATTCATACTGAAAAAGCATACTTCTCCTGGGTTACGTGTACTTCTTTAGATTGGTCTGTTCATCCCTCTTTTGCACACAGCATCTGCCCTTCCATGCACAGGTGTTCTTACTGCAAGATGTAGGGCCATTTCTATGAGAATTGCTTTGAAAATAAGACCTGCAGGAGTAAACTCTTTAATTGAGTGGATCATTTTATTATAATTAAATGTACAGTGTCTGGGCATGAAGCCATCAGCCCTCAAGAAGATGCGGCCAACACTGAGTGCTGCGGTGTGATAAAAGTTATGCAAGTCCATCACACTCATCCTCTCTCTGCACTGGCTTCCTGTAGAGGTGTGAGCCAGGCTTAAAGACTTCTGGATTGCTCCAGCACTTGGGCTAGTACCTATGGAAATGGCTGGAAATAGGAGGAGAGTAGATTTGACAGTTGTATTCCTAGAGGGAATTTTTTTTGGAATTTTCCATTCCAGAACCAAAGACCAGACAAGGCTCTATAATAACCTTCACAGAACCCAGAGGCCATCACAAAACGCTTGTCCTTCTTTCCTCTCTGTGTTAGAGGTGTTTCTTTCACCTTGCTTCCCCTCCCAGGCACTGCAGCAGAGATACAGGAAACCAAAGCTCTGAAAGCAATTTACTGTACCTAAGTTCTCCTCTCAAGAAGGAAAGAGAATGAATCAGATGTGACATGTTTGTCATCTTGCTTAATACAAGACTTGAAGGCCCTCAGGTACTCTGGTGATGGAGGGCAGTGATAGAAACAGCTCACACATACTGGAGAATTTTTGAGCAGTGCTGCCTTAGAAACAAAGGATTTATGGCCAGGCAGAACAGCCTTCTGAGGTCTTAGTTTAGATGCCAACATTGGTCTCACTGAGGTCATTCACACCTGTTTGCTTCTGTACTTTTTGTAATAAGCAAACCACCGCTAAAGAAAGGAGCAGCTCAGTGAAGGCATGAGGGGCTGCTCGCTGCCCAGCATCCCAGGATTTGTGTGCTTTGGCAGGGAATGCTGCCTGGCCTCGGGGTGAAGAATGCTTGGGGATTTTGAACCTCAGCACTATGAAACTGTAAACATTGAAGCAAGTTATCTCTGTACATCCCGGAAGTTTTATGTCTCAGAGGCTCAAAAAACGTGGGTTAAGCACCCATGCTCAGAATATGTAGTGAATGCAGTTCTGGAAATAGGCAGCATTTTTAAACTGCCAGTCTTGAAACTGCTTGAAATTCACCTTTGCCATTATCTGGAGGCTCTACAGGCTACAAAAGGCTAGATTTCTCACAAGCATCAGGGGATAAAAATTACATTTGAACAGTAAGATTCACTGGAAGACTCCACTTTTCTATGACAGCCCTGTGTCCTGGGGTGGGGAATGTTAGGGGCCACTTAACTTTGTAGGACATCTTTGCACCTAACTCATGGAGTTGTTCACTATATTCTCACTTGTCCTTGAAATGCCAGCCCTCAGCTGGAGCACCCAAGTCACAGCACACTGCTGATGGTGGCTGCTCTTCAACTCAGTGTCAGCTTCCAGCCCAGCTTCTACATCTCTGACGGCAAAAGGCAGTTCACCAGCCAGGGAAGAATTTCCAAAAGCACTGGTCTAGGTCTGTGAGAGATACTTCTTTCATCTTTCTGGTGTAAAACTAGCAGTTTTTGAGAAGAAAGCATCTTAGTGACTTTGGAGCTTGAATCCCATTTGCAGATCTTGAGAGAGGCAGGGCAGCAGGAGGGTTAGCAGCCACACATGGCCAGCAATCAGATGAGTTGTGTGCAAGGAGTGTGGTTTCTGGGACAACAGTAAATACTGGCCTTCTATTTCTTCTCAGGCTTCATGTTGGATTCCTGACATATTAAGCCCAATCCCTTCATGTGAGGATTATCTGTCTCAGCGCAGATGCAGGCGATGGCACAGTTCTAGAGAAAACCAAATCTGAAATAGCAAGGTTTATTTCAGATCAGGCTTGCAGTGTTTTACTAGTAGTGCTTTTAATAAGTTGTGTAAGAAGAAGCTTTTGTGTATTATGCTCTAACCCACAGATGTCTCTAAAAGATATTTCAAATCCCAGTGTGAGAAGGATTTTGCTGCTTTTCATGCTGGAATTGTATTCTTGCAGATGTTTGTGGGGTTTATATCTCTCCCCCCCTGCCCTGCATACTGGCCTGTGGTCTGCCCTCTGCATGTCTCCAAAATGCCCTTCCAGGAGCTGTGTTAGTAGTGCTGCTGTTTGTGCAGTCTGGGAACTGTCAAGGGTTGTCAAGGGGCTTGGGAATAGCACAGAAGATCCAGCCACAATCCCCCTGTCCTAAAGTTTCTAGAGAAGCTGCTGGGTATATTTAAAGAGTGACATAAACAGTGCTCATGGTCAGCATCTTACATCACCTTTCTCTGATGTGAGCAGAACAAAAGAAGAGACCCAAACAACAGCAAGGGCCTGTGTGCCTTGTGAATAAATGCTATAGATTCTGGACTTATTTTGGCACCCAGATAAGTCATATTTTCTCCTCTATCACAGCAGTGAAAATTGGGTGTCGCTGCATTGAGCTGAGCTGAATCATTTGTGGTAAAAGCAGTAAATACTGCTGAGGGAAGAATCTGGCCAACCTGTGCATTTGACATGGCAGGAAGGGAGAGGGGTGTGGGCTGCTCCTCTGGAAGTGTTTTCTTTTTGAGGTTATATATCCACCTAGCAGAGCAGTCTTTTCAGTCCTAGTGCAAGGGTTGTGCAGTAGCTCAGAGAATGAAAAGTGAGGATGGAGCTTGTGTTCTGAAGGAAGAAAGACCATTCTTCATTGTTTGAGATTTTTTTCCATGTTGTTTTCTTCAGCATGTGCTGTAGGACAGTGCTGGAGAAAGGACACTCAGTGGCTTTCATCTGACTCCATGCAATGTCTCACGTTTGTCATGACCAAGGGCTTCAGCCTTGTGCCCTTTCCTGAAATTCACTCTTGATAAAGTAATGTCTTTGGTAAACTTCTAAACCTCTCCTATCTCCTTTCCCTTAGCCACCTCCCTAGGATATGGTGGTGTTTGGTTTTATCTTTGTGCTTGCTCTGCTGCTGCTCCCTGATTTGTTTCAAGGTGCTCTGACAGCTCTGCTGCTTATCTCTGCTGCGGCAGGCTGCCCTTGTTCCCTGCACCAAACCTCCAAGCTTATCACTCAGGCAGAGTTTTTGTTTCAAATTGGTGTGCCACATCCATCAGAACCCTCTGCCTGACCATGAAGAGGGACAGGACCTGCACAGCATCCTTCCTCAGTGCTGTTTAGTCACCTTCTCCTGCTGGGAGATGGGCACTGAGCAGCAAAGGGAGAAGCTTTGTGGGAAGGGAGGCTGGCAAGCAGGGATGCTTTCTCTGCAGAAGGGGAAAATCTGGTCTTTTCATTCAGGAATCCCCTGCCTCAGGCCCTGGAGTTTGAAGTGATGCCCAGTGGCTTTGCACAGAGAGGACTGTGATAGGAGTGTTCTGTTGCAGTCAGTATTTTGCTGCCGCCTTGGGAGATGCTGTGAACACTCCCCCATGGTAAAATGAGAAAAGTCCTTCCAAGTTGCATAAATTCCAAATGAACATTCCATATTCCATACATCTAATTTGACTCTGCTATAGTAAAGGGTTTTATGTTGATGTGAGTGAGAGTAGAGTTTAATTCTTAGTGTGCCTCCCTCAGTACAGTTGTTGTT